GTACGGCGTCAAGCACCGCGGCCGAGGTTGTAAACGACACTGCACAGTCGGTCCGTCGTCGGTAGCCTCAATCCCCCTCGCCGCCTCTAACTGACTCTAACTACAACCGTGGGTCATGTAGATATTCGACCACAAATCAATCATTGCACGCATCTTACCGTGATGGCCGACACTTGAAGGCAGCAAAGGCAGCAAAGGCCGACGAAGCGCACCCAGATCACTGCTTTCCTTCTCCTCAGGTATGCAGAGAAGGAGCTGCAAAAGTCGGCCTTCACAGGCCGAAAGCATTCCCAGAAAAGTTTGGTCGCTGCCCGAAATGCTTGGGCTCGGATGCCATGACTGTGGCAGATTCGAGCCACGGAGTACGCATAGTATGGCATAGGAGTTGCACATGAGTCGAGGAGAAGCACGTACTGTCGGATGTCAGCGGTCAATGATCTCATGATCATAAATGCAGCTGCCGCAAAGAAATCACTGACCTCTGGCACCATAGTATAGTATAATTGGCACCAAAACCCTATTCTAATTATTAAGGCCCCTATTTTAGACCCTAAACCCTAAACAACTTTCTCTGTTTTTGTTTGCCTTCCACTCGGGGGGGGGGGGGCCGGGGACCTCCGCAGGCTGGTCCGCTCGGCCAACGGCAGACTTACTGGAGGGCTGGAGCTACCCGAAGTGCGGCCCCCCAATGGATCGGAGTAGAGAGGGTGGAGTGATGTTGCAAGCAATCTGGCAATTCTGACAGTAAGTTGACATTTATGGTGATGACTGCAGCTGCTTCTGCTGCTGGTGCTTCTGCTGCTGGTGCTGCTGGTGGTTGTTGGCAGCTGGTGCATTTGACTCCGTGAAAGCTGTGATGTCAGGCCTGCGAAGTGCACAAACTCGAGTTTTGGCACGTTGCAGTGCTTTAAACCATTGTTTTGTGATTCGGGATTGTGAATCGGGATTACAGTGCTTCGCGACAGTGCAAGCCGGCTTGCAGGGGACCATCAGGGGCCTTCGCAGCGCTGTCCCGAGCCCATTTTTTTTTCTGGCTTCGTGTCTTGTGAGGCCGAATCCCTTCATCCCCAAAGACTTCGACCTGGCCTGGCCACAGGTGCAACCGAGTTGTCGAGTTCGAGATCCGGTTTTTATCCGATCTTCGGTTGACTCCGGGGAGAATGTCGATGGATCGTCCCACGGTCGCTTGAGCACACCTACATAGACCTCCATGATTGTGAGCTGCCACACACACACATATATATATATATATCTCTCTCTCTCTCTCTCTCTCTCTCTCTCTCTGTCTCTCTCTCCCTGCATCCTTCATCGGACTTCATCGGACTTCAGAAAGCCACCGGAGAGCCCCGCTCAACGCCTCCAGGCCTCGGCCCGGGAGAAGGCTTCTGCCTCCTCAAGGCCCCCGGAGCTGATTCGGAAGGATGCGCCTCGCCAAAGCCAAGTCGGTCCCAGTATGGGGGTTTAGGGTTTAGGGATGTTTAGGGGCCAAGTAGGGCCAAGTCCTGCATGGACAGAAACAGAGAGGTCACGCTCACCTTGCCTGCGTCGAGGACCGGTGGCGAGTTTTCTTCAAGGCAGACCAGTCATTCGGCGTGCCCAAGGCAACCGTCATCTTGTGCCCCGGCTTGAATGGTCCATTTGGCTGAGGAGCCTCGGTGGTAAAGTCATGGTTTTACTTGCTGCCAGTTTCACTTTTCGAAGAGCATGCAAGCCTCATGTGCAGGCGAAGTCGCATCGTGTTATCATGAAGCGGACACTGACATACTCAACTCATCATTGCCGTTGGCTTCCGGCTCATGCTGTCACCACAGTCTTGTCAGCAGGGACGCGACACTGTTAATCAGCGAGGGGAGTTTACTCTCTGCAAGCTTTGCTGGTGGTCATTTAAACCCTCGCGTGCACCCTCCCTCAGCACTCCCTTTCTGTCGAAGTCACCTAGGCAGTTCTGGTTTCCGGACGCTGAGCACAGATCCTCCTCAGCTCCCGGATCTGCAGTGGACACGCCCGAGGGTCGAATTGTCGCTCGTGGCTGGGACAATCAAGAGGCATTGCCATTGCTAGAAGGATCTCCCAATGCTGCGCTTCACTGCGTATTGCGTTTCTTTCTGCAGCTCGTGCTTGTATCCAAGCTGCGAAGTCGACATAGAGGTCAGGTAGCATGCGGTTGCCTTCACGCTCAGTCTTGTTTTTTGCCATAGTCATGTTGTCCCGGGCAAGGAATGCCGGTGTGCAACAGTAGCTTGCTGCGAGCACGCAGTGCAGCCGCTTGCAGTCCCGCAATCAACATGGAACACACCAACAGTAAATCTGTCAGCCAGTCCTTCATAGCGAATGAAGTGCAAACGCCTTGAGGCATCTGGCAGTTGTCCTTGGCTGATCGCCTCACCGAGGACTTCGCCTCAAGCGCGATAGTGCCAGGCTTGTAATCAGGTCCTCACGAGGAGCTTGCGGTATTTGACCTTCCCTCGATCCAAGATTCTGGACAGTGCGACTCATTCCATTATCGTAGTTTGCAGATACCCGTGCTCGGTTGAGCTGTGGCCCCTGCTATCCCCTCATCCTCTCCCTGCATCTCCCCGCAAGTCTTTCAGGGTTCTCCGTTCTGGCTCCCGCCTCCTCTGACCAGGTTAATTGCCTTTCGCGCATGGCATGGGCTGTTGGTTTAGTTCAATCGCGAGGAGTACTACGATGCGCAGCTTGCTGGCCTCAACGCCGGCTGTGGCTCGCGCCCTCGCAGCAGCTTCAGCAAACAAGCAAGAGGAAAAAGTTGGGTTTGTCGTTCTCTGAGAAGACCTACTTTGGACAGGACTACTGTGGGGCTGAATGTCAGCTTCAGCGGCTACAGCGACAAGCTGCCGGTTTTCGTGGGAGAGGCCCAGAAGAGTTTCAGTTTTGTACTCAGTGTGAAATTTTCAGAGACGATAGCCTCCAACTTCAGCTCTTTCAGTCTAAGCTTCGGGGCGCAGATTGACTTCATGACATGGGCTGCACCGGAGTGCAGGTGGTAGAAGCATGATGGTCTTCAGGATGAAACAGCTCAGCACCAAAGGTCCTTGCGAAAATCCGGGACTTCGATGGACCTTCGGAGAGCGAGTTTGCGCGGGCGTTGGATAACCTGAAGCGAGAGCAGGCTCTGCGGCTGCCAAAAAACTCGTTTGACTTTGCTCTCCTTTAGCTCGACGATGTGCCGACTGTGGCATGGACCCGCACCTAATTCACATGATACATCAGAATCGTCACTCTACTCATTCGCCCTTGCAGATTTTTATACCCGACTCTGCGTTTTGCAGGCTTCTTTCGACGTCCAGCAGCCCTTTGCACATGCAGCCTACTTCTCCCGCCTGGCGACCTTCTGCCCAGAGCATCCCGGGCAGCAGTGGCTGGTCGTCTGCTGTGTTTTGGATATGAGCCGCTGTCTACATCATGCAGAGGCTTCTTCCTTGCAGGGGTGTCCTTGCGGGTCCGTTGACCGATATCCCACCTAAGTCACCTAAGACCTAAGTGTCACAAGCCAGGCGTCTTGGTGTCCATGCTGTCAGCAAATGCCTCTTTGCTGCTCCCTTCCAATGTATAATAAGTATGCAGGTTACAGTCCGAGCGGGGCAAATCTCTCGTGTGCACATATTCTGTTAGCTGTTCGCCTTCTCGGCTTCCCAAGTCCTCGTCGAAAAGCCGAGCTCAAACCCCTTTGTAGCCCTACAGCTTACACTCCCTGTTGCCACCTTGTTGTCAATGCAGCCAGGTATAGCATCGAAGACTTGCGGAAGGCCACCAGCAAGGCCCAAACACCGCCGAAGCTGTGCGAAAGCAATTAGAGTCTAATTAGAGTCATCAGTTGCCGCAGCAAAAAATAAATTTCCGGAGGGGTCAGCAAAGTAGTGTCATCATGTACCAGGACGGTCTGTGTTGCACAATGCGTGATACGTTGCGCTATCCGTTGAGAAAGGCGCCGCTACAAACATGGGGCTCGCCTTGCGGCTTAAACAGTACATGATGTTTAGTTTCAGGAGCAGATGTTTCCTCGATGATGCAAAGCTCAGGGGGGACGGCGATTGAAAGACTCTTCCCATGAAGAAGTGGAGGAATGCTGTGGGAGGGGGGAAACTTGGTGGGTTTGGGGTCGATGGGCTTGATGGGCTATGCTGCATTGAACCTTGACTGGTGTGACGATGCACACCCTTGGCTTCAGACTGCACAGGTTACGTTGTCGGCTGTCCGAGACTACTCTACGCTGCTTCGCAGCGCGGAGCAGGGCTTCTTTGGGCAGGCGGGTGTGCATTGCAGGTTTTTGCTGTTGTGCAGCTTAAAGCTGACTGCTGTAAGATACTCACAGAAGGCGCTGTTGGGGGCATGTTTGCATCTCCACAAATTGGGCTCGAAGCTAACAGAAGACCAAGAGTTCGTTGAGTGTCAACTTTACATCGTCTCTGATGATGCGGCCTTCAACGCGGCAGAACCTCGCCTTGGCCGCTTGGATTCGCTCGAAGAGAAGCTTCGAAGCTTCAGAGCCTTCCGCTGGTTTCTTCCTTCCCGCCTTCCCCAGCCAGGCCTTTATCTTCATGCTGGCCGTTCGGGATGTCTCCGCTGCGAGAGAGTCCTTCCACGTGGCTGAGATGGTAACTTTGGCTGCCAACACTATGGAACAGAGCGGCCAGTTTCAGGACCTTCCAAGTCTGTTTTTCTTATTTCTGGCCGGAGCACGCATGGCCAACGCTTAAAGCTAAGTTGTTTCTGGGACGAGGTTTGCAGGTAAACCTGTCCTACCAAGGTTTCATCAGCAAATGGCTGACGTGGCTGAGCATGGGTCGTTTTCACTGAAAACGATGTGGGCGAAAGGGAAAGAGAATCCTCTTTTGAATCATGGCCGCAACCCCATAGCCTGACACTTAGACTTAAACAGTCTAGGGACACAGCAGCTTCCTGTGCTTGATCGGCAAGTAATGCAGACTTGTTCATCCAAGGGGTAACCTGCATTGGGCCAACGCCACGATCACATTCAGCTATGAAAGCGGTGGCGAAGGGGAGCCAGAGAAGTACGTGGAGGTCAGGGGCATGGACACGAAGTATCGCATCATGCCGGATGCCATCGTGATGACCAAGGCACGAAGTCAAGAAATTCTGCTCACCTTTCGAAGTTGTGATGAAGAGCATGGTGCCGGCCTTGCCAGGAGATGAAAACCATGGCCGTTACAGGCATCTCGGGGTGGCAAGCCTTTGACGGCAGATCCTGGGGACCTAGCGTATATAGCAAGAACGACATGCTCTGGATCCGCACCGAGAAGAACCCCATCATCGGCGTAACCACCAGCAGCACCATCCCTTGGCGCTATGCTGGTTATCCCGTCTACAGGAAGGGTACGCAGAAGCCTTACTACCTCTACAATGGAGTCCAGAGCACCATTGACATCGACGCGGTGAACATGGCCTCGGAAGAGACATCTTCCGAAGTTCACGTGGAAGTCGAAGGGCAAAGCTCCAAGCCGCTGCAGTCTCCGGATACGGAGCTCGTGGCAATGGTGGACGCCATGCTGGGTCAGAGCTCCTGCCTGAACAGTCCCAGCCTGTGCGCGTTCCGGTGCTTCTACGACTCCGACGAGGATGTGTGTGGACCACTTGCCTTTTGCAAGAAAGTTACCGAAGGTGAGACGCCCACTGCTCTGGCTCCGTTTGGTGACCAGCAGAAATGCAAAGCAGTCGGTGGCAGTACCCATGAGGAGGCCGACAACACACTCAAAGCTGAAGCCATCCCCGCATTGAAGACAAAGGCACTGGACGTGACTTCTCAGCATTTCTTGGCTCTCTCATTGCTTTTCGATGCCAGGGTCGCGCTGAGGTTGTCGAAAAGCTGGAAGGCTTGGAGGCGGTCTCCGCATCAAGCGCCGGCCGTTCGAGCATGCAAGAAACTGCAAAGCTTTGGGAAGAAGCCGTAGATGTGCTCCAAGTCTTTGAGACGCTTCCTTCAAGGCTGGTATCAATTGCAACTGACTTCTAGTCCGAGAGGAAAGGAGGCCTGATGCATATCATGCCCTGTGCCAGGACAGATCCTGAAGTGGGGAAGTTCACGGAAGCACACCGCCGAGCAAGCAAAACGGACATGAAGCATTGGCGCCATCGCAAGGTGAGGGATGCCTTGGGTCATCTAGGGCCTCTAGGGTCCATAAGCAGCTTCTTTGGAACACCGTGCATGTACGTGGCCATTGACACGGGTGACGGGTTAGATTCAGTGTGGCTTGGAGTCTTTCCACGGAGCGTCCGCCTTGCAAGCGCGGCCGCGAAGGATCGCTTGACGACTGCGGAGTATAACGCCGCGAAGGGTTCGTCCGTGGCAGTTCTCCGAGGCTCTCAGGATGTCTCTGTGCCTGCAAAACTGAAGCTCAGCTGCAGGGAGGCCGTAGCATGTAACAGCCATCCGATTCCGTTTCAAGGCACTCTGAGCTCGTCAACTTTCTGCTCAAGCGCCCCCGAATCATTATTGAGACGGCGGCTTGGATGCCGGATCAGCGTTTTCTGTTACACCGGCACGCGAACGATTCTGAGCTGCGTCGCATCGAACCCGAGAGCATCAGCACCTGTTCGGAAGTCTCGGTCAGGCCAAGCTCGAGTCCAAAGACCAGTGTGTTCTGAAAGACGCGTCACTCGCTGAGAAGGAGCAGCTGAAAGACTTCGTGCACTATTTCCTGAAGGTGCCTGGCTACAATGCCGGTGATCTCGAGGGCCAAACGTTGAACTTGCCAGAGCACTGCCAAGACTATCTAAAGACACTTGGCGGCTCCTCAATGGCAGACTTGCTCAGCTCCTCAGCTATCAAGTTCCAGCAGTTTTGCCAAGCTGTGGGCACATGACATGTGATTCCCTTTGCTCAGAGGAGGCTGTGGATACCTGGTGACCGAGGCACTGCTGATGAGGCAGCGGCGCACATGGAGACGGCCGCCAACCCGCCGGACTCACGCACAGCGTCGTCTTTGGAGCTGAAGTCCGAGAGAAACTCGACGGTATCCCTGGCCTTTCGCAGCCCTGAACATTCTGGCACTGCTTTGCCTTAAAAAGTCTTGTCGATTCCCGTGACACTCTGGTTTGACCAGACGAGGATTGCAGGCTGCGGTGAGTCGCGATGAGGAAGCGCGAATTCTGCTGCACAGCGACTCCTGGATGGATGAGTCGGAGGCGGCGCGCACGCAAGCAGCTCGGAGTTGACAGCAAGGCTTTTGCACGGATCTCTTGGCCTCTGTTCAGATTTTTGTGCTTCTTGTGCAGTCGACATGTCTGCTGCTAATGGCATTGCGACTACTGTCCCCTGTGCTGAGTTCGTCTTCATCATCCTCTGCATCATCGTCGCAATAGCTTGCTTTTTGGCGGCCGGAGTTTTGTTTGCTATGGCCCTCGGCGGGATCAACTCTTGCGGCAGCGATCAAGTGGGCAGCGGTACTGGCTGCATGGCCTCTGGGATTCAACGCAAGGGGCTTCAGCACTTTCGGGCTATGCTCTGGAAGCAGGGCAATATGGTTTGGTTTGCTGCTTCTCTTTGAGTCTCTTGAGCCGAGGCCTTCTTTGTTTGCGGTGTTCTCGGCGGCCTGGTGATCTTTGGCACCTTGGCCGTGACACAAAGAGAACGCGAGCAGTCAGCACGCTCCAATCTTATTCCGTCCGAAAGCCACACGTTGCAGTGAAGATGTGTAGGTTCGTTTTGAAGACATTTGCGATGCTGTGGATCATTCAGATCGCAAGCTTCCCGGGTAGCCTTCTGTGCATCTTTGCGCAAGCTGTGTCCGGCCCGCTGCCAGTGAGTTTCTGTTAGGTGCCTTCTGCATGGCATGGCCGGTGGGCTTGGCCGTGCTCATTGGTTTATTCGTGGCTGGGATCGGTGCCGTCATCGACAAGGCCAGTATGTTGGAGAAGCCCAACATGAAGGCATCGAAGCTCGGATCGGTGGCAAATGTAATTTAACGCCGCAGCAACAACGTTAACAGTAAAGAGGTTGGGTTCAAGCCGGCTTTCACAGAATCAAATTGATGTCATGGGAGCAGGGAAGGGACTTCCCCGTATCGCTAAGCGGTTTCACCAACGCAGGCAGCTGGAGTAGCAGATAGAGGGTCAAGACTTTTGTGCGTTGAGACGCTTTTCGTATCAGAGTACGGCATGACTACGTCCCGACCCGCCTTGAAAGCCTACCTGTGACCCTAGGGACCCTGCCACCTAGCTTTACTCCACAGCGAAAGGTTGCTGAGAGATGTGAGTATTTGTGCCGATCCATTGTGGTCTGAGTGAGCTGCTAGAATGGCCCAGGAAGCTACATCTCGCAGCTGCGCAGCTCCACTTGGCGAGCTGAGTGCCTGCCCGACAGATGCCGGCACTTCGAAAAAAGTCCTCGTCTGCGAGCATTCTGCGAGCATCGAAGCATCTCTCAGAGCCCTCTCTGGGGGACTTCTGCAGGCGCTGATCCACGGCAACCTACGGGCGAAGGCCGCCCAGGACATCCTCTCTGCACTGGACTTGCTGCCCTTCCGAGGCCTTCCCCGAGATGCAGCACCGGAGAGCAGCCACTGAGTCCCCAGGGCTGCAGACCTCACGCACAGTACACGCCCCGTGGTGTGCTGTCATCGTTTGCTTATTTGCGTTTTGAGGCAAGTGCGTCTTGAGCATGTACACAGCGCGACAAATCCGCTCCCTTCCCCAGAAAACCTCCTACGGCAGGTGCCTCAGCACCAACGTCCTCCACTTCCATGCTTCTCCGCTCGCGTTTCGCTTGCCTGGACGCGGGGCAGGTAGCTCGGTCAGCCAGTATCGGCATTTTCATGGGCAGTTTTCGGCATCATCAGCGCAACACTGATCATCAACCACTACCATCATCGCCGCCATCACCACCACCACCACCTCCACCACCTCCACAACCTCCACCACCTCCACCACGGCCACCACGGCCACCACGGCCACCACGGCCACCACCACCGCCTTCACCACCACCGCCACCGCCACCACCGCAACCGCCACCACCGCAACCGCCACCACCACCACCACCACCACCACCACAACCACAGCCGCCACCGCCGCTGCCATCACCGCCGCCACCACCGCCACTACTGCTGCTACCGTCGCAAATGTTAAATATGTCATTGCTGTTGTCCTTGCCTAGGATTGCCAGAACCACGCTTGTGCCCCTGCCCTTATTGTTGGATTATTAATCATGTGCAATTGGGGGACTGCTTGAGTTCTTTGCCAGGGATTCTAGGATCTCGGGTCTTGGGCTGCGGCCGAGCAGTGGACGGTGAAGGGCATGCCCCTTCTGAATTGCTGAAGTTCGGCTTCTGTGCTTTAGATCTTCAGCTATGTCCAGTTCACAGCATGCTAAAGTCTGAAGTGTGTGGGTGGTTCGAGCTGGAAACAGCTGGATGATTCAGTGCTCCAGGTGGGTTTTTACAGCTCTGGTTTAGCTCCGGTTTGGATTGAGCGGGCGAGTTTGGGTTCAGGGCAGCTGTAGAGAAAGCACCACGCTGTGTGCGACTGGTGCTTGGAGCTACCAGGAATGTCTGCAAGTTCAGCCGGAGCCCAATGCGGAGAATGTGAACCACGCGCAGCTTGGCGTTTTGTGCCGTCATGGCACAGGTCCGGAAACGACTCCAAAGCCCGTAGTGACATCGACATCGTGCCATACATAAACAAGTCCGACGGAGTCCGTGGTCTGTTTGTCTCGTGTTTCTCTTGTCGAGGCTTGTCTCCGTCTTCTGGACGGGGGACGAAGCCATCGATGGCTTGCGCACTCAGCTGCTCGAGAGGATCCTCAAGGCTTGTGGGGAGACCAAATCCACACGTCCACACATCCAGTCGGTTTCATCGGAAACGGCTCTGGGAAGGGGGTGCTTGCACATGTAGTCCGTTATGGCCTACCAGTCGCGTCCAGTTAGGCATGGGGAGACGCAAAGCTCTTGCAAGCGTGGTCCACATCCATGACATGGTTCATCCTACAAAGTGTGCAGAGCCGTGGTGAGAGGTGCATGGGCTCATGGGCTCAGACCAACTCGACTCATGTGAGGGCTCGGAACGGCTCGGACATCGTTTGTATTGACATGCGCACTGCCAACTGAAGCAAGTCCGGACACCGTTTGCCAGTCCCGGGCACGGGCCCAAGTTGTGTGTTTGTGTTTGTGGGTGTGTCTCCCGCTCTCTCTCTCTCTCTCTCTCTCTCTCTCTCTCTCTCTCTTTCTCTCTCTGTGCGTGCGTGCGTGCATGCATGCATGCATGCGTGCGTGTGTGCGTTCGTTTGTATTTTAGGTGATGCGTTCCTGTCTCTGTTGAGTGTGACTGTGCACGTGGGCGAACTTGCAGTCTGCCTTCTACACCAGCCTGCGCACGCAGCAGCAACTGGGTGCCTCGGTTTAGCTTCAGGTAAGGCTGTGGCTCGTGTTTGCAGAGCGTGCCCGATGTGGTCCAAACCTCCCAGAAGCTGTTGGAGCGTCAGACCTTACATGGCTGGTCCGAGGCTACATTGTCCAGTCTCAGAGCGATCGCATCGGCAACCTTGCCCGGCTGGTGCTCGTGGTACAGATGCCAAGCGGAACGTAGTGCAGATTTCAACTCCCGTGCCGAGATCCATTTTCGTTAGTGTATGTGCTGCAGTGTTCGTCTATTCGGCCGCGCTCTGTGCAGTGTCTACAGCAAACTCTTGTACGTCCCGAAATCCTCAATACAAGAAATCGAGCCCCTCAATTCCTTGTTAAGGTCTGAGCAAGGTCTTATTCTGTGCCGCTATTGAGGCCTAATATGGCCTAATGAAGCCCTTCTTAAGCCCTTATTAAGTAGGCATCCAGAACCCTTCAAACGACGAAATGGAGCCCCTCTCTTCCTTTGGTTTAAGACAGTGAGCTCCTTGAGGCAGCCGTGCGAAAAACAAAGTAGCAAAAGCATGCAAGTGGACAACAAGAAATCCAGGGTACCTGACCTCGGCGTGCCAAATTTCTTGTTTTGCTCTTCTGGATTTTTCTGTGCTTCTTGTCTTGGATCCAAACAACTGAGAATGAAGAAACTGGATTTGCTGTTTCAGGAATGCCAAATCCAGCCCCCCAGTTTCTTAATCTGAGTTTTTGGGATCGAAGCAAGCAAGCGAGGAAAACCGAGAAGAGCAAACTAATAAACAGGCACGCCGAGGTCAGGTACCCTGGATTTCTTGTTATCCATCTGCACATGTTTCCTTTAGCACGGCTGCCCGAGGGGCTCAGTTTCTTAAACCTATGATTTCTTATCTTTCAGTGTTGTTCGCACATGTAGCCGCTTTCACAGTTTGTGTCGTCTTATTCCATGTTTGACTAGTCGTATTGACTCGCCTGCGGCCCACGTGAGGAGCAGCGTTAAGGCACCCCCCGACCTGCTGGCGGCCGTGGATGGCTTTCTGAAGGACTTCCGACCTCAGCATCTTGTCTATGGAGGAGCGTGTGTGCAGAAAATTTTCAACCTAGAGTACATGTATCACAGTATGCCTGTGCACGCACAGGCGCATTGAATCTAAGCGTTGACTTCCTATTTGCATGTGTGTTCGAGGCTGAGGTTTTGGCACGTGCCCTCTAGTTGGTTCCTGAAATAAGGCTCGAAGGTCTCACCGATAGTCGCTTGGCTAGCAATCAGTCCGGAAGCATCAAATCCATGTTTGCGTGACGTGGTTGACTACATTCTTGCTGATTTCCGGCCGCGCCTTCTGTGCCAGAGGCTTGAGCGTTGTTATTGCTATTGCTACTTCTAATGATTATACACTTGTACTACTATGATTATTATTCGTACTACGGTTGATGATATAAATCCTGCATTACCCATAATAAAGAATATACCATAATTCCCATACTTTAGGGTCCTTAAGGTAATGCAGGATTTCGATCATCAACAGTACCCGTAGTGTTTTTGTTTCTTTCAGGTTTCCCCGTTTCCAAGGTCAGCTACAGCCTTTCAAGGCTTCCCTCCGCGAGGCCGGGGGATGAGCACTGTGTTCCGTCTGTAGTCTAGGGTTTACCCATAGGCCCCTAACTAGTTCCTTTTTGTGGCTTATACTTAGAATCCTATAAGGTAATCCCAAAAAGGAGCTACTTAGGGGCCGATGGGTGGGGTTTAGGGGTTAGGGTTCCGGAAACGACACTAAAGCCTCGCAGTGTTTTGCGCAAGCCTGCCGCAGGATCGCGCCTTTAGTCGTCTCATCGAGTTTTTGCACGAGGGCTCAGGGTACTCAGGGAACGTCCCACATTTCTTGGAATTCGAATACTTCCCATACCTCTCCCTCGAGTTGCGGCTCCGTTTTCTTGGCAAAGAAAAGGCTGTTGAGACCTGCGGCTTGCGACGCCACCTGTCAGGAGTTCCTTCGCCCAGATCAACGCCTGGGAGCTGAGACGGGCCGGTGGTTCGGCGAGATCGCAGGATGGACGCTGCAGTTGGGAATCTTCTTGTTGAGGCTGATGTCCTGACAGCTCTGGGAAGTGCTTTTGGGGGATATTGAAACTGAGAGGAACATGAGAGGAAAGCTTGTGCAATGCGGATTGGGAACGGTTGTGAGGTCTTCTGTTTAGAGGTTCCACGCAGGCTTTCCTCCCTAGTCAGGATTTCAATACTCCTGGCGCCGCCGAGAAGAAGAGGCGGGTCTTGAGATTGCTGAGTCGCCTCAGACTGACATGCACGATCATCCTGCAAACGCCCGTGTCGATGAACGACCCAGCAGGCAACGTCGCGAGTCATTTTTCTCGCTGTGTCAGGCGGAACTGGTCTCCGGAATCTCAAAGCAAGACTTGCTGAAGGTGCCTTGCAGATCGGGTTGCAACGCTTCACTTCAGTACAGTCTGGGACCTGATATCGATGCCTACATAGAAGGTGCAGGTGAGCGGGTTCCAGTGCAGGTTAAGGCAACTCCTATGCGAGCTGCCAGGTGCCATGATGCCGTTTGCATCCGGCTGACCCAAAGACGTCGCATGCTGCAAACATGCCTGTAGAGAACTTGGCGCCAGCAAGAAATGCAGCCTGAAGAGCAGTGCAGACAGTGCAGCAGTAGACATGCAGGTGTTCGATGACAAGATAGCAGCAGGCCCGACAGTTGAGAGTGTTTGCATCAGAATCCGCAGTATTGAGCATGCGCAATGCCGAGCAACTATCGATAACTGTCGTGTTGACCTTTCTCCGAGATCTCGTATTCCAGCGAATCAGGCCAGTTTGCTTCTGTCGTGGTTTCGTTTCAGAGTTTGTAGCTTGTTAGCATAAGGCATAAGACTTGGTGGCAGAGGCTTACCCAGGGAGCCAGCTTCAGTAGCAGAAAGGTTCATGATATATGATTTAAGTCGAGAGAGTCAACCACCTCAAGTTCATTTATCAGGGACTTGTTCAAACAATAGACAACTTCGTAATTTCCAGACTGAACCTTTGACACAAACAAAAACACACACACACACACACACGCCCGCGCGCGCACACACCCATGTGTGTGCGAGTGAGTGAGTGAGTCGGTGGGTGGGTGAGTGAGCGAGTGAGGGAGTGAGTGAGTGAGTGTATTTGTGTGCGTGTGCGTGCAGACGCGAGAAACAAGCACGAGCATCGGGATGTTTGTCACGCGTGTTGTTGCAGACGTGACGTACTCATTCTCCCTCCCTCCCTCCCCTCCCTCCCTCCCTCCCTCCATCCATCCATCCATCGATCCATCCATCCATCCATCCATCCATCCATCCATGGACGGATGGATGCTGTAACACGACACTTTTGACTGCAGACTTTACGTTCTCGCCAGCAACATGCCATCGAAGCGAACAACAGCAGCTTTCCGGCAGGCTGCTGCTACCAGGGTTTGTCAGTTGACTGCTGTTTGCGATTCTGTACAAAGGCGGTCTGCTGCGGAGGCGCGTGACCACAGCAGTTCGCGTCCAAGCATGAGCTCGAGCAACAGTGGCTGTTACCACATTGGCCTTGCAGGCGGTGCTGATTTGGGCTTGCCGGCTTGCCTCTTTGTACTCAGGTTTTCGCTGCCTCCTCACAACGCAACCAGACACTCGTCTGATTTGCCTGGGATACGCTACTAATTAACAACCTTCTAGGCACAGGTCTGCTCGTGTTGTCACGATGAACGGTCGGTCTTAAGCGGAAATCAATTGCATGATGTTGTTGCTGATGATGACGATGGGAGAAAATGGGGAAGATGAAGACTGTGATGAACCAGCTGACGAGAAGTGTCAGCGCAGCAATGGACTGGGCCGGGCGGTGATGGGCTGCTGTGTTCTGTTCTGTTCTGAGAGCACTCGGCATGGGAGCGCTTGAGCGTGTCCGAGTGTTGTTGCCCAGGGCCATGTCCGAGATGAAGGAGGCTGCGCGGGCGAAGAAGATACTCGCTCCTTGCTGAAGACAGTGCCGCCAGGGCTTGAGGTCATTCCAGCACTCAGCGAAGACAGGCGTTGAGTTGCATGATCCAATCTCGACGAGCCCCTTCGCAGTACGCACTGTTGTGAATCCTGGGTGCAGCGCATTCAGCATTCCAGGCAAGGAGAACAGTCTCTTGGTATTATGGGGCATCCCTGAGAATGTGAGGCCAAGCCTCCGAATCGGGTTTCTGGTCCGCTGTGGTCAATATATCACGAGATATCAGCCTACCTGATGATGCCCATCGCTGTCTTTCAAAAGCCCCTCTAACGCTCAGAGAACTTCCGATTACTTCCGAAAGCATGCGTGCTTCGGGATCTCAGGCCCGGTGCTCTGAAACGAAGCCGCGACCCCCATGTTATGAGGACAAGATGGCAACTCTCAGGTCATCGAGGACCCGCTGCGCTTCAGCCAAGAGGCCGCCAAGTGGCCTCTCCGTTTCTTGGCCCGGGAGCAGCGTAGGTTCAGCTGGACAGGCTTCCTTTGCAGTAAACCCCGGGCCCTAGGTCATGTTTTCATGATCTTTCGTGTGAAGTACTCACGTCTCCAGTTTTTTCAAGATTGAGCCCGGCGAACCGAAGTAGCATCAGGCACGAATCGGTAGGGATAAGGGAGTGTTTGTATGCCCGAACTTATCAAACCGCAGCCGAGGCGACCGAGATCTTGAGATGGAGGTGTCGCGGACTATCACCGGGCACAGCTGAAGCATGGAGGCTCATGCACGCAGCGTATACATCTCCGAAGTTCTCAACTATCTTCTCAATCCTTTACAATCATTCATAGAGGATTCTCAAAGTCCTCCGCGCTGCAGGCAGAGGCTCTCTGCTGAGGCTCGAGATCCAAAACCATCCGAGGCAATGCTGTGCAAAGCCATAAGCTTGACCGCGGCTGGCCCCAATTTTCACGTTCGTGGCCCTCTGGCTCGGAGGAAGTGCAACGAGGGAAGGTTGCTCGAGAGGACTTGTCGCCAAGGGTCGCGTGGCGAACGTACCGAATGCCTACCTCAAGAGCCTCTTTTAGATGGGCTGTTCCGTCACATCGGTTTTCGGCATATTAAAGCTTGCAAAAGACCCCTGCACCGCCAGACTTACACATCTAAATGCATGTCGATTCTGCGAGCGAGTTTGCAAGGTGCTCATGAGCATTCAGCGTTCCCATTGGCCAGATGTTTGGCTAAGTTTCGTGGACACTGACACTCTGGACGGATTGTGCCCAGGTCATGACTGGCTCATCCTGGCGCTGCCGGAAGATCCGCGGAAGTTGCGGGCCCTTTGCCGTCGGACTCGTAGGAGGGAGGTGGTGCAAAAACAAGGTTCCTCGTTCTGGTTTTGATTCAGACGGAAGGGTGTTGGGTGTTGACAAGTTTGCTCGCCCGAAGCAAAAATGCGAAGGTCAAGGTCGCCCTGCAGAACAGCGGCATTCTCAAGAAGAAGGCTCTGACTCGTGGCTTGCTGTGCCTTGCGAGTGCAAAAACTTTGGTTTCCAGTGCGGCTGATGGGGCCTTGGCCTGGAGCCAAGGGACTTTGTTGAAGGTTTGCAGCGGCCGAGACTGAGCACGGAGTTGTGAGGCTGAGCTCAGCATGCATCACCTCGAACCTGTTTTCGAGCATCGAGCCGATGACCCGACTCTGAAAATTATTGACCGAGACACCTGACCCAGAGGGTTCTCGCTTGGAGAGTTCATTACTTTGCTCGTGCAGGCTCCCGAAGGCCGGGCACTTACTCCGATGCCTTCTGCGAACTCCGCCGGGGCTCAGAAAATGCTCGGAGTCTACGGGGCCAAAAATCGGCTGGCGTTCGGTTCAGGCTCGTGACGACAAAGAAGAAGTCGGACGAGTCGGTAATGTTGGTTGGCATCGTAAGAACCACTGAAGCCTACTCTTTCAGTCACGATGTCCGTCGCAATGTGTGGGCACTTGAACCTGTAGCCATGGATAGCATGCTAAAACTGCTAAGAACCATCCAAGAAATTATGCAAAGCTGATCCCGTGCTGATCCGGCGGATGGCTTTTGCGCGCCATGGCGGCTGGAAAATACAGAATTCTGTTCGCTGCGCTGATCATTGCCTTGTGCTGGACAAGTGCAGTGCGGTCCTCGGTCGGCTTTGCTCGGATCGGTGAAGGGAAAGAAATTGCTCAGTGCGGCTCTTGTGCCACGGCATGTCAGAGGTATTCACGGTGAAGCTGCTCCAGGACACAGACGTAGCGGGTTGCCGGGCAAAGTTGATATTGAACGGAGCACAACATCAAATGTATGTACGCTGGGAGAGGCCGAATTCACACCGTATCTGCTTGCAACAGCCCGGACATAGGCCACAAATAAAATGTGCATCGAAGGCTCAATCCTGCTAGCTTCTGGGCAGTCATGGGCAGTCCAAGTTGGGTTGAATGTAGCACAATCTCACTTGCAAGGAGAACTGCGACTTCAAGAAGCTTGGTTGACTTGGATGTTTTCTGGGCGCATAGGCACCGAAACAGCAGCAAGAGTTTCCAGTGTGCACAGAAGGCCGTCGTGACGGAGCACTTAGCCTTGTAAACACCAAGCCATCCAGCCCAGGAAGCCTTACTTGCTCACCTACTTACATGAGCTGGCTCTAATGGCTGCTGCAGCCGCTGGGCAAGCATAGGGCAGGACGTTGTCGAATCCCAAAAGCAACTAAGCGTCCCCAGTAGAGACTCGCCATGGGGAGAACCCCAAAACCTCGTACGCTTTGGCGTCAGCAGGTGCCCTTGGCTGCCTACGGCCAGGGTCGTCGCCTCTGGGCAGCTTCGCGCCCACTGCTTTGCCGCGGTTGGGTGCCTTGGCGCCAGGCAGTACGCAACCGGATGTCTTTCTTCCACAGGTCTGAGCATTTCATGATGATCTCATGACTCCAAGAAGTTTCGCTTTGACACCCCCCTCATCTTTTCCTCGCACCAAGGGCATGGGGCTGCTGGCTTTTGGCGGCTGGGACTTCGCCAGTGAAGTGCTTGTAGGCAATGAGGTTGTAGGCGTAGGTCCGTTGTAGGTCAGTGTACAGGAAGCGCAGCATGCACGTAAGCCTCAAGCAGCGACACTGTTTCGAGAGCGCGAGAAGGACTCTCAGCATGCATACTAGCCTACTGCGGTGACAGCGTGATGAGTTGTCTCATGCAGAAACGGCTCTGGTCTCAAGCTCTTTGTTTTTTGCAAGAACTGTGATCTTCCAGAAGTCGAGAGCTCCGTTCTTTCTCGTATGTTTGTCGCCGAAGTTTCGGGCATCCGGATGCAAGATTTCTCTGTCTATTTGACCAAGTATCTGCTACTCTCTCCATCGATTTGTTTACCGCTTTGGACATCTAATTGAATCAAGTGTCTGTTAGTACACATGTAACGGTTTCAGAGAGTCAGATAGACACCAGAAGTAAACAGCAGGAAGCCGTGCAACCATGAGGTTGATATTAATCTAGCTCTAGAAATCCAGAGCGTGTCCAAGCTCAAGACTCAAGATATTCATGTTTTGATTACTGCGTACTTCCGGCACCGCTGCGGCAATGCAGTGTCTGACATTGAGTGCGATATTGTTTCAAGTTACGCATCAGCGCTGCCTTTCACGGGCCACTTTTTTGTGGCCATTCACGGAAAATAGCGCAAAGCAAAGGAGCCAACATCTCGTTCACAGCCGCGCTGGTCTTGACGACTGCGAGCTCTGCGATGACTCTGGAGTCCCCAGTCTGCAAGAAGTCGCTTCAATTCTCCTCCAATGGGGCCTGGGATGCTGGCCCTGTAGCTCAGGCAGCTGACGCCCGTCTTCATCGCAGGAGCCCCGAAGCCACAACACCCCTGGCAGTATGCCGAGCGGGGCCAGGGTACGGGCTTCTGCGGAGTCTTGGGGACCCTTGCTATCCCACATGGGCTGAAATCAGAGAAAAGTGAGAGAAGCCATGACTTTCGAGCTCTTTCGTCCCAGACCTCGAACCTCTCGAGCTGAGTTCTGAGCCAGGACTCTCCTTCTTCTGCCTGCGCGAGAGGTATCGGCCCTGCCAGCTCTTTTGGCTGGTGGTGGCCATCGCAGGCTCTGTGGTCACAGCGCGGAGTGATCTGAAGGAGCCGAGTTGAGGTCCGGTTCGGTTTTGGCAGGGCATCCAAGCAAACGCGGCAATTTCCACCTCAGAACTCTTCAAGTGTGTTTGCGACAGGTTATTGAGAAGTCTTCGCAGCCTTGACATTGACAGTCGATTCCGGCACCCGGAAACCCAAACCTCCGTCCTCCCGAGGAGTGTCATAGCGGAGCTTGTGACGGCTCGCAGCCTTTGCTGGGCGACTTGCTGGTCGCCGCTCGATTTGGAGCCCGCATTCCATAGCACAGGGGTGCGGGCACAGCGCAGTGTGGTGAGTTCCTCCAAGGTGGTCACTTGCATCACAGCCGCCCTTTACATGGTGCTCTTTAAGCTCATCTTTGCCCACGGCTGTGATTGGCAGACCTTCTTTACATACTTCATGGTCAAGGGCATGGCCGTTGCCGTGGTCGGAGGCCTTGGTCTACTGTTCCTGCCAAGCTCGCAGCTTGGGCTTCCCAAAGGTGCGAAAGGCTGGTATTACTTGTCCCTCAATATGATCTTAAACATTTGCTTTAACCTGTCGCTTGCCTGGGGTATGTTAGTCGTCAGCCCCCTTGCCTGTCGACTCTTCGTATTGCTGGGCCTCCCACTGTCGCTGCTTCTGGACTCCGCTCTCGGGATCGCCATCGTTTTCCAGCGAGTGCTCGGGGTCTTTCTGGTCACCTTGGGTGTTGCCGGCTTCGAGGCGGCCACGGGCGCGAAGTCCGAGCGCAGCGAGCGCGGCGAGCGAGGGGACCTTGAGATCGAAAACGTGTCGGATGCTCGGGACGAGGCCGAGGCCGAGTGCATCACCAGCCCCCACATTGCGGACATTGCAGTGGAGGTCTCCGAGGATACGACCTCCCAGAGTCAGGAGACGGGAACTTGCGCGTCCTCGTCCTCCTCCCAGGATGGGCCTAAGAAGGCCCAGGCCGTGTCGTCCTCCATCTTATGCATGCTGGCAACCAGCATCTGCTTGGGTGGGTTCATCGCGGCCAGCGTCGGGGGATGATGCAATCTACACTGCACGAAACTCGTGCTGTCAGATTTCCTTTCTTAGCAGGCAGCTTGCAGAACCACCTGCTTTGACTCCGTAGAGATGCAACGTCATCTGTCGGCACTTACGTACAACTGCTTTGCAAAAGATCATCAGATGCTTGACTTGAGCTTTGAGAAAAAGCCAATATGGCAGCATCACGCGACTTTGCCGATGGCCCACCCAGGCTCCCGTAGCGACGAGCCTGGCACTTACTCACGTGCCGTAGTTGGATGTCTGACACCGCCAAAAGACTTCAGACTTCATGTAGACTTTCCGGCGGTGCCAGAGGGTTTTTATTGGTCCCCATGTCCAGTTGCTTTCCTGAGCATGTTGTTCTCAGCCGTGTGTCTTTGCCGACGCGACTGCGCCCGCATTTTGTCAGCATCCGAGACCCGAGACAGCACTCGTCGTCAGCCGCCCCGATCGTTTTACCATGTCGCTGCAGCTAGCAGCACCTAATGATCGAGACGAAGGACTGCTGATGCAGACCTGCGCTTAGGCCGGCTAGCTGGGGGTCGGAGACTCTTCTACTTCGCCCGGGACACCTCATCAGAAGGCTTGATTCTGCACAGTTGTAGTTGTTTCGGAGAAGGTGTACGGTACACTCCGTGCATGCAGCCCGGTCACTAGCTTGGCCAAGGATAAACACAATCCGAATGCAACTCGAAGCTTGTCAGCTTCTCGTTGTCAAAATCACGGTGTAGAGATGCTGGCCTTGGCCTACTGGCATTCTCGGCCAAACCTTTGCCCGTTGAGTCTGAGGCCGGTCGCCCTGCATACTGTAAACGATGTTACACACATATAATTTGATATAAGTTAATGTAATACCGTACGATATATAATAATCATAACTGAATAGTATATTAGAATATAGCATAATATCAGCTAATGTCCGAAGACTCGTCAGGCTGCAGCCGAGCGAGGACCCTCTCAGAGCATTCGAGCATGCACAGCGCGCCAGTTGGTTGCAACAAAGACTTCAGAACTGATTCAGGCATCTGGATCTTGTGCTTGACTTGACAGCTTGTTGGTTCTTGGCAGCTGCAACCCCTGCTGCACATCGCTGCCGTGAGTACGGCTGCTTCTAGTGCTGCCGCTACTCCTAGCAATACTATTCTCCTCATTTCTCCTTCTGCCGGTTGTAAAACTGAAGACTCGATAGGTGCCCGAGCAGACCGTCCGATGTGCCATGCCCCAGCCCCCTGATCACCCAAAGTGTTCCAACCTCTGGCCCTCCTTGCAAAAGTGCAACCTGGCGCAAGCATGAGGCACACTGGCACAAGTCTCGCTCGAATGACCGACTGTCCGAATCCCGTCCAATTCATCAGTACTCGACTAGGGTCTGAAACCCCGAGCCTCAGCCCAAAACCCTAGACCTGAAGTACGTCCAAGATGCTGGGTCCCTAATCCCAAGCCTTAATCGAGAGATGGGGAGAGGTACTCTAGTGATGTGCCCGACGAAAAACCAGGGTGAATCTTTCGGCAGAAACAGGTGTCTAGTTCCTAATGGACGATCGTCGAAGCACACTTGTCTCAGGCCGCAGACGGCGCAGCTTGGCTGCCCGATCCCGAGGTCGCTGGACCTGGTTGTCTCCACCTGGTTGTCTCCGTCTCGTGAAAAAATTAAAAAGGCTGCAGATCCACACAGTCTCGGGGCCTAGGAGGGAAGCCACCGCGCACGATCTGCACAGCTCTGCATCGTCTTCAGATGCATCAAGACTTCACTAATTAGGCCGTTCTAGGGCCACAAGATCAATGCCTGCTCGTACATCAAAAATCATCAGCTCCTTTGCAGGAGATGGCCCCGCACATTCCTCGCGGACTCCTCCTGTTGGCCCGCAGCAAGCTAAGCATAGCTAAGCTGGACTCTAGCTGATACTGTTACAGGTACAGGGCTTGGCCGACTAAGCTGTCTTTTGAGTTCGATGATAACTAGCAATGGTTAGATTAACCAAGGGGGGGAGTGGGTGCTGGTCCTTGCTTCGGTTGTTACCAGGCCTCGCACGCTTCTGAATTGTACCTTGGTTTAATTTGTGGTTGAGGGACTGTTTGTTGCAGGCTGGGTTATAGTACGGTTAATGTCAATAAAGCAGGTCTTTACCTGAATGGAGCGTGCGAGCTAACGAAGACTCGTGTTTGCAAAGCAATGGCTTGGGCCTGGGCTCAGGTCCTCAAAGCCTTGAAGATTCGGCTGTGCCCATGCCGACGCTTGTGGCAGTCGAGGAGGCTCTGGGCAACTGAGGGCGGCGGCAGCGGTGGTGGCAGCAGTAGTCGTAGTCGTCGTAGCCTTCGTAGTCGTCGTAGTAGTTGTGGAAGCAGTGGCAGTAATTAGTAGTGGTGGTGGTAGTGCTAGCACCAGTAACTAGCAGCAGTAGCTGTAATGGGAGATGACATGAAAGCAGAGGTAGAGTAGAAGACCGGCTGCATTGGAGTTTGGAAGCATCTTAACACGGTTTCACTGCCAGATGTCCAATCACAGACACTCTGAGGCTAGTCGTTAGTTAAGCTAGTTAGCATAAAGGCAGATAGTCACTAACATTGACCATGGCAGTTCAAGTATCTCGGAAGCCTTTATGTCAATCAGTCTTCTTACTGTTACTCGCATTCGTTGTCGTAATGTCAATATCACGCACTGGAGATGGTAGTGGAGGTGGTGGTGGTGGTGGTGGTGGCGGTGGTGGTGGTGGTGGTGGCGGCGAGGATGGCGATTGTTTTCAAGCGAGGTTCGGTTACTTCAGAGAAGTCTTGCTGCTTTCGCACTGCACGGCAGGTCTGCAGGAGATGCCCGTGGATGCTGAAAGCGGAGGATCGTGCTATTTTGCCAAGTACAGGGGTTTGGGTACACCTGCGTGTAATGGCCCCACATGATCCCACATGCATATCCACTTACCTCCATACATGCGCAACTACATACATGCATACAATCCGCACTGTGGACAAGCACACTCGCGTCTTGTGCGCATCCATGCGCATATTGGCGTGTCTGCATGTTTTTAATGCATTGTAGTTCCGCACAATGCAATGTAATGTACCACAATGCAATGTACTGTAGATTACTGTAAATTGCTGTAGCGAATGTAATGAAATGTAATATATATATGTAATGTACCGTAACCGGATGTGATGTAATGTAAGGTAATGTAATGTAATGCAATGTACTCGTATGTCTACGTACGCATCTCTGCCCATCCGTCCGTCCGTCTGTCGGTCTGCATGTAGACTTGCACGGGAGTCTGTCCGTTTGCCTGCCGGTCCTTCAGTCTGGGCAGGTGCCGTGCGAGCAAGTGCTGTTTGGGCTGCTCGTGTTTTTTTGTGCTATGGCTGCTGCTGCTGCTGCTGCTGCTGCTTCCGCTGCTGCTTCTGCTTTTATTCTCGTTCCTGTTGTTGTTGTTGTTGTCGTCGTCGTTGTTGCTGTGGTTGTCGCAACTGCTATTATTGCACATCCCCGTTTGCTTTGCGACGCCTGTGCCGCCAGCCTTTGTCTTTTGCGTCCCGAGCCTCTGCAGGAGCGGAGACTGTTTCACTGCCAATAATATGCCTCCATGAGGATCCGAACAAGGGAGTAGTCATGCCCCAGAGCCGATGGCCTGCAGGACCATAGGAAGGATGGCGACAGCGACGAGGCCGTCGACCCTTCGTAGCCGTGCCACGATCATGCGCATGCTCAGGTTCATGCCTTGCTATTGGCGCTCTCTGTCTTGTGTATGCTACGGCGTCTGCATAAGCATGCATGTAGTGGCTTAACCTGATTCACAACCTGTGGCAAGAACCATTGCAGTATTTCTTTCGAAGAATTCACGCCAGTCTCATGCATAAACGCACATGAACTCGCAGTGGATTGCCTTTTGACCCGAGAGGAGAAAGTCGTTTTGGACGACCGCAGCCAGCTCGGTAAGATTCTGCCGTGGCCAGTTATGGGTTTGTCTGGAGCTCTACCTCCGTGTCAGACAGCCAAAAAACTTGTGTTGTTTACCTGCCCTTCTCTTCTGGCTGCCAAAAACTCCCGCCGCAGCAACTCTTCAAAAGGTTGAGACTTAAAGCTCCAGCCCCAACCCCGACCTCTAAACCTCAATTTCTCAGGATAGTTAGCGGATGCAATTTCTGCGGACTGCTGCTTATCCTGCCTGTAGCAGGACTACTTAATTACTTCTACTGTATGTAGATCTTTACTCTTCCTAGTTTCAAGTTGGAACCATGATTTAAAGCTTGTCCTCAGGAGGTAAGCTAGAAGCTTGCAGGAGGCCCCGACGCTTGTGCGACGGTTCAAGTTCCGACAATGCCCTGAACCCTGAACGGCCTAAAGCCAAGTAGCAGTCACTCTGCCTTGGCCCTCCCGGTCTTCACCAGGTCTTCTTCCCGCCCGGGAGCCTCGCCGGGTCGAAGTGCCCGGGCCTCTGCCACTTCAGAAACTGCTTGCCTCAGTCGAAAAACTAGTCAAAGACGAGGGGTCTTGCATTATTCGCATTCCCCTGTGCCTTTTGCCTTGGTGTGTTGTCCTTTCTCGCAGATGTTGGGGGGACCATGGTCTAACCCCGGCCACCGGTGCCTCTGTTGCAAAGCTTGCAAGGCTTACATGTGAAGCCTGTTTTGCGGCAGCCACGAAGAAAGAGCTTCATCGCCGGCGAAGCCTTACGGTTACAGAGCTGAAGCTTAGAGCCAGCTGTGTATTCTGAGCTGTGCAGGTGCCTGAGGAAGGTGGGCCCGGAAGATTTGCTGGGCTTCAGTATGGAGGCGGGCCCGGGGTCCGGGAGCATAGGCGCACGCCCGGGGCGCGCTGAATTCCTTCGCCAGTTCGGTGAGAACTAACCTGTTTTTTGGCAGCTGCTGGGCGGACTTCACTTGCCCAGGCGGATGCAATCCGGCCCGGCTGCTTGCAGCCCTTCGGATGCAACAATCATGCAGCACTGCTGCTCGTCCTCCTAATTGCACCAGGCCATGCATGTCTTTGCAGATGTGGCAGCAGGTGCAGGGACACACAGTCTGCATAATATGGACCATACTGCGGTGAAGCCGCAGGGTGCTTTACGCACATCGTCTCTAAGAGCAATTTGGGTGCGCGAGATGCAAGGTTGGACCCTTCCGAAATCTAACGATGTTTTGGGCAAGCAATTTCCAGAAATCTTGGATATCCTCCGGGTCCGAAAATGTGAAACTGCTTGCTTCTTTCTGCACTGGAGGCCCATCCGGAGGCCCTTCGAAGTTGCAACCTCCCGAAACTCTCCCCCTCCACTCCCAAACCTGCTCCGAGACCAAAAGCCCTTAGTTGTCAGAGGATTGTGTCCATCTCCGAGAAGGGCCTACTTGGACGGCGCAATGCGGCTGTGGACGCTGCGGAGCGTGCAGTGGAAGGTGGGCCCTCTACCAGGACTATAGGTTTCAGCAGGTTGCCGGAAGCGTCGAGGTTTACATCTACGCTTCACGCGAGGCTTTCCATCGTTGACCTCGCCTATTTTGATGGTTGAAATCAGAGCAGCAAGGCTGTGCACGGTTTCCCTGCGAGCATTTGAGAAATCCCGTCGAGGCTCCTGGGTCGTTGAGGTGAATGGCGTGGTGGAGAACCTGGAAGCCATGCGCTGCGAGCTGGAGGCGAAGCCTAGTAAGCAGCAGAGCAAAGTTGCTTATGGTGACTCCGGATTGGTCTCCAAGGTCTGTTTCTCGTCCTTTGGCACGGTTGTTGTTAATGTTTGTTTTTGGCACTCTGTCAGGCTGCAACCATCTCGCTGGTCGTCCTTGTGCCCCAGCTGGAGGAGACAATTGCACTTGGGAGGTTTCAGACTGTCTCTGCTTCCTGCACGCCCTCAGTGGAAGAGCCGGTGTTGTCCTTGTCGACCAGGCAGCTTCGAGTCACAGGGCCCCCTTTACCATCCTTTGCCGAACAGTGGTCAAGAGGAGAGGATCCGAACGCAGGAGGTAACGCCGGATCGCAAGAGGCTCGAGCGGCACAGGAGCACAGCAGGCGGTCCGGGACGACGTCTCCCGGCCGGGCCGACGCGTCATGTGGTTGATCGTGCGAAGGTAGCATGGGCCGGCGGTAAACGCGGCTCTAGCGAGCAAGCGGGTCGCGCAAAGCCGGGGATTCGCTTCCACAAGTTTCGGAAATGCTCCGGTCATGTCTCGGAGAGAGATGCAGTCTTCGTTGGGGGGCACGTGCGGGACTCGTTGCAGACCGAAGCCCGGCACGAAGGTGGCTCGGCGGAGAACGCAGTGTCTTGTGGACTTGCGCGGGGCATCGATCGATGCAGAGCGCGGTCGTTTTCTTGACTGCAACATGCAAGACGGAATGCAGCCACCCGCAGGAGGTCGGCGCGCCGGCTTGTGCAGTTGGAGCTCATTCATCGGCGCAGCGCCCGCGAAACCGAAGCGCCATCGGCGGCCCACTCCAGGCTCAGAAAAGGTACAACTCGAAGGGCACGTATCACACCGACCAGTGCTGAGCACGGTCGTTCTTTAGCTTCTGCATGCATCGAAGGAGCGCAGCAAGCCACGTACATCGGACGGCAGCTGGGAAGCGAAGGATCTCGCGCACGCGAAACAGATCTTGTACGGGAGATCCAGAGGCGCGGCGAAGGGGCAACGGATGGCAACGGATAACAACAGCCCGGCTTTCGGGCCTCGAAGCCAATGACGCGGAGATATGCCAGTGGAACAGCACAGGCTTAATGCTGAGTCGTCGGAGTGGGCACAAGGAAATCACCAAGGGCCATCAGCCGTGGACACTGGTGAACTGAAGCCCTCGGAGCCCGTCATCTGAATCTCGTTTATGAGCCCTCCGATGTCTAGAGCCCACCCTGAACCTGAACAGAAGGAGTCAGACGACTTTGGCCGGAGGAAGCCAAGCCGACCTGCTGCGACTTGGCTATCGGTCGTGTGAGATAATCAGCGTCTCGTTTCTTGAGGTTGTGGCGATGTTGGCCTTGGTTTCCACGAAGCAGGTCATGATCGAAGATGTTCGTCGAAGGGACGGCCAACACGCTGAAAACCATCAGGTGCAGCGCAGCCAAGGTGATACCGCATGCCAAAGTCAAGGGGGAGGTGCCACTCTGCCGATGCAACGGGTACTGCAAGTGTGGCCTTGCCGATGCCCTGGGGCGGGCGCGCGAGGATCATGGGAAGTGCCTTAGATGATCAGTTGTGAATTTGATGAGTGTCCGACTCTAACCCCAACAAATCATGCGCCAAACACAATCTCTGCATCCGCTGGAAGGTGGAACGTGGCACAGCCGGCCCTGCGCATCAGCAATTTGCACCCGGCTGTGACGGAAGAAATGCTATACAGCGCCCGGGCTGCCAACTTGTGACTACACCTCAGTTCATGGCTGATGTTTCAACATGCTGTTATATATCGTGATCTCGCAATCGAGATCGCTGTGCTTAAGCAGGTGCCTACTAGGTGGAAGCCGTGCATAGCAAGAGCCCTAGGCCCTAGTTTCCCTTCAGCCCCTAAACCCTGCGCTATATCGGAGGCTTATTTACAGAGCTGGCGCCAGTAGCCACCTTGCGTGTGGTGCGGGACACCAAGACCCTGGAGTCCGAGCTTCACGGCTTTGCAACTTCGGCTGCACATCTCGTTCCTCTTCGTTCCTCAGTTCTGCAGCCAGAGCAGGATTCACGTGCAGCCAGAAGGGCCAGATAATCCCAGTGGAGCGGAAACTAGCAGGTGAACTTCCACACTTTCAACGACGCGCAGAACGTGCTGGAGGCCCGTGAGAGCAACGATCCATCCTTCAATCCTGAGTTCATCTGGGGGCTAAGACGGGTTGGGAAGAGCAGAGGATGGTAGAGCTGTCAATATCGTACTCGCAGCAGGTCCAAAATTACACGGTAGACCTCTTCAGGCCTGTTGGGTTGTTTGCTGTATGGAAGCAGAAGCGGTATTAAAGAAGAAGGAAAACACAGGATGTCCTTATTGAGACTATCCTGGTCACGCTCCCAGCTACGGCCGTGGCGCTGCTGCAGCTGCTGCCGCAGCTGCTGCCGCTGCCACTACTCCTACTGATACTGCTACTGCTACTGCTACTACCACTACCACTACCCCTACC